TAGGATCTCTATAAGGGTTTAGGGTTCAGGGTTTAGGATTTAGGGTTTAGGGTTTAGGGTTCAGGGTTTAGGTTCAACATAGAGGCCTCATATGGGGGCCTTAATGCTTACCTTCCTTATTTTGGGGTCTTTATTATACTTTAATTATAGTATAGTATACCCCAAAACCTTATTCTAATTGTTCAGGCCTCGATATTAGTCTTTGTGGTGCATACTTAGGATCCTAGAAGGTCACGCAAAAAAGAACCACAATGGAGCCTTAGGGTGCATAGTTGCCGGTATTAGTCCGTTATACTCGCAAGTCGAATATCTAGTATTAGGATAGTTGGTGGCATTGTTCAGCATCATCGGAGGGTGTCGCTTGCACATTATGTGAGTCATTTCGGTTGCTAATCGTGAAAAGCTATATCATGAAGATTCTACGCATCCTCCGAAGGATCAAAGGGCGACCTTCCTTGTTTGAGGTTTGTAGTGTGTTTGTGCGGGCTTGGGGAATTCGTGCAGGACTGCCGGGGCGTGGTGGTCATCGAGATGCTCTGGGGTGCCAGTCAGCACCTTGCCGCTGTTGAAACCCTAAACCCTAAACCCTAAACCCTAAACCCTTGTCTCAAGGTTTGGAGGTTTGATTTGGTGGGAGTTTTCTCTCAATCCTTTCCAGGACCTCAGACCGAGCTGTTACCGTGGGGTCTTGTGTCTGGCATGCTCAATCCGAAGCTTCATGAAACCAGAGACTGACTCTAAACCCCTAACCCCCTAAACCCCTAAACCTCTAAAACCCCGAAACCCTAAACCCTAAACCCCTAAAGCCCTAAAGCCCTAAACCCTAAACCCTTAAACCCCTAAACCCAGCCCTCGACTGGAGATTTCGGCTTGTCGTGCCTGGCGCCTCTTAACACAGCCTTGTATTCTTCAGGTATCTGCCCGCCCACGACGGGGGGAAGTACAAAACGACGGCCAACAAGCTGCAGGACCCAAGAACAAAGCGATGTGCCATCATGACAGTTTTCAGAGGCTTTCCCCAGCATCCTCGGCGCCTGATACTTGTACCCTAAACCCTGACGACAAGGACTTCCTGAGCAAGAAGCAGGTGGTGGTCACCCACTTCCAAACCCCTGATGAATTCAAGCAGCGGCTGAAGCCAAAATATTCGATCCTAGAGGGTGTACAGCGACCACGCGAATCATGATAGTACTTGGTTCAGGGCCTGTTGTTCTGTTAAACCTTTTCAGTTTTGAGCGTACTGCGGGGATTCGTTGTCCATGGCTCAGGGGTTTTGGGCTTCTGGGTGGGAAAGTAGGGATAATGAGCGCCTGCTCTTCATTGGGATTCTCTGTCTTCGACCTGCCCACGTTGTTTTGTTTTATTTTGATTTGTGCTCGCAGTTCGGGTCTTTGGTCTTTCCCGGTCAATCTTATTCCGGTCGTTGCTTTCCTGCTGTCCTCCGCCTGCCTTACGTTCTGCAGCATGGGCTGTGTTTAGTTTCATCTTGCGCTGGGTATCGAATCCTCCTCTTCCAGGGGTGACTCTGTCTTGGTCCTTATTTTCCCCAAGGCTCCAAACCCTAAGTCCTAAACTCTAAACCCCCAAACCCTAAACCCTAAACCCCTAAACCCCTAAACTCTAAACCCTAAACGGTGGTGTCCCCCCCCCCCCCCCAGGAATCTCGAACTCGAGTCTCCAGATTTTCTTGATAAGCCCAATGCCAAACGGCCCAGGTATCCAAACAATATACCAATATACCCATAGGCCCCATAGTAGTTCCTTTTTGGTATTACCTTATAGGATTCTATATATGAGCCCCCAAAAGGAACTACTATGGGGCCTATGGGTAGACTTCGGCCCTTAAGTTAGTCCCTATATAGGTTCTCTGGGACCAAAGTATATACTGTTTGGGTACACCTTTATAGAGGTTGGCCATGATTTTACCTACTTTCGGGGGTTTGGGTATACCCTAAACCCCTAAACCCCTAAACCCTAAAGGGGTTTAGGTATACCCCCGCCCCCCCGCGCCCCACAGAATGCCAAGGGGCGAGGGCATCTTCGATCGCTACTCGGAGGTGGAGCGGAAGGCCAAGCTCGGACCTGTCAAGATCCGAGTGTTTTTTTTTTGGGGGGGGGGCGGGGGGGGGGGGG